TTTCTAGGGAAATTATAGAAAAAGATTACTCCAGACAGTAACAACCAAACTGTACAGTGGTTAAATAGCCAAACATAGGAAGGGAATGTTTATGGATGTGAACAAATAAATGTGGGCTACCACAACATGGAATGTGTAATTAAACTATTTGCTTTGCTGTGCCAGATCATAATTGTGTGGTTCTGTTTGACTTTCAAATTAGAGTTATTAATGTTATGTATGTGCCACTAAGGTTGCTGCTTTATTGAAAAACTTGGCATCCTTACTACTGCATAATCTGAGTTGGAGGTCAAACTTGCAAGCTGCAGCACATTAAATAATCAACACTGAGTAAACCCCCAAATTTATGCTACAAGAGACAGATTAAGCTGAAATAACAGTTTCCAAGAGTAGACTTGAAAGAGAGAAAGGAGGAGTGAAGGAAAGAAACCAACATTTGAAAGATCAGCAGAGGGTTTTACATAGTGAAAGATTTAGGGTGAAACCTAAACTGGTGGAGGGATCTGCATTGCCTGATCCCATTTTCCTCCAAGATATCACAGACTTGTTTCAGGTAACAGAAGTCCAGTAGTATTGCCACAGAATTCCTAGGAGTAATGGTGAGTGTAATAGCCATGATACAAGGATTGGAAGGAGGTTTCTGTAAAACCACCAAACCGTAAAGAAGTTACGTCATCAGCACTAGCCAACCAAAACACATTTATGTGACTTCGGAGATAAGTATTTTCTCCTACTTCTACAATCTTTCAGCATGTATATTTACCAAACGTCTTAACACTGACTCGAAAACACACTCACAGTTCCTTAAATTTAAACAATGACATTTGTCCTGGCCTGTCGATCTATGGAGTTTGAAAATTTGTTTTATGTAACTAGTCAGTTTGGACTTTTGTTATTTCAAACAAGTTGGGGCACATGCCTCTTCACAGTAGAAGTGCTTCAATTTTAGTTAACTTTTGGTATGTAACGGGATCACAGTATAAACTAAACTTGACTATTGATAATTTGGATTGTGTATTATTTTTGGATGATAGTTTGTCTCCAAATCCACAGTCATACTGTTCTCTCAGTCTAGGCCCCCTAGTGGGGTCACATTAATTGTACTTTGTTAACTTTACTTAGTTATTTCTAAATCCAATTTAAACTTGCCCTCCTCTTTGCATAAACTCTGACAAAGTTCAGTTGAAGCTTTCTTTGTGTCCTAATAACATCGGTATTCAGAGTCAATGGTTACATTACCATCTTACCAGGAATTCTGTTTTCTTAGAATTATTCTCCCTTTGTAACAGTCTTGATTATATCTGGCTTGTAATTATTTGAACATTATTTTATGATATACAGTATAATAAATATTGCACTGTATGTTTTACATGACCGTTTAAATAGCTAATGCATCTACAAGTATAATTTATGGAAGTAAAACAGATTTGATTAGAGGCATTGAATTTTGTCCAAGTAACACCTTCAGCTGAGACTGTACAGATAGGCTTTTCAGAACATCTGCAAGCAAGAAAAGCTAAAAAACAGTGTTGAAATGTCAGAAATGTAAGCAAAAATTTCCAGTGTAGTTTGAAATATCTCTTCACTGAAAAAGCCACACTGTTAGTCATGATTTTTGCCTTTCCTGATTGTCCTTAAACTCATCTTCTGAAAGGTCTTTTCAAGTTGTGAAGTTACTTCTTTGGAATTTTAAACGCTTTCTAAATTCCCATGCTTTTCCTGAAAAGGGGACAAATTTGAACTTAACAGGCTATGAGGCAAGGCCAGAACTTATAGGTAATTTATTATTGAAGCAGCTTTATTTTAAAAGAAAAATGAAAACTGCTTCTCTCAATCTTTGGTTTCATCTACCATATGACAACAATTAAAATCCTCATCGAATATTGTTCAAAAAGAAGGTATTTAAGTCAGGGCAGGCTAACCAATCCCAGGTGTTGACAGTAACGTGCATGATTCACTGTTCAGTGCTTAACAAAACCCCCCTGCATTGACTGCAACAAATAAAGAATTCAGTTCTACTTGTAGACTTTTTGTAGCAGCTTTAGATCCTTATCCTATGCTTCTCATTGTGTACCACATTAAGTTATCCTGAGAACCACTTGCCTCAATATCCCAAGGTTTTAAACATACTTGAAACAAGGCGCTACTAAAAATGATGACTACCAGGAGGGCATAAGGAACCAGAGAAAGAGAAATTGGGTGTAGTTTAGTGCTTTGCTGAGCTGTAATGCTGCTGAAATTGCCACCCCAATGTCACTGTGCCCTCCTAGTCTAGAAGGCCATCTTAATGAATAAAAACAATACCCTTCAAGCATTAATCCCTTCACAGACAGACACTTGCTGGTTTGCCATGAGGAGGAGGAGGAGCACATAAACACAAGTTTCACTATTGTAGCCTATCAGAGCAAAGAAAAGAACTATTAAAAAGTTACAACTCCTCAAGAAGATTACGTTTCCCCAGTATGGAATTCAGCCTAAGGAGGCAGCCAGGGAGCAGAGTAAAAGCTTTTATTTCAGCAAGGAAACCTGAATTATGTCCAAGAAAATCACACCTCCTCTGTCCACAGACTTCCAAGAAATAACATACTTGCCCCGAAGTTCACCTGCCTCTGCCATTGCTCACCGTCTGAAACACAGTTTTGCCACAGCAATCTGTTATTTTGTCCCGAATTTGGCGAGAACCCTACGGCAAACAAATCCTTTCTGGGTAATCATCTAGCCATCACTGTTCATCTGCAAGTCATCTGGATCGATGAACTGTATTGCATCTTGCTGCTGCTAGGAAATGCTGTGCTGTGCAAGCAGACTCCCATAGGGATAAAGGCAGCATCTCAGAAAGGTATGTATACAGCAGCGCAATGGCAAAAAGCAAGATTTTCTTCATGTGCACCAATTTTCAAGGCAAACATGGAGCTTTCAGCCATGTTGTTTCCACAGTCTGCTTCGCAAGGGATCTCGCTATCCATTTGTGCAAGAGAAGCAGTGGCCAACAGGAGCATCTGATAAAGTATGTGAGGACCTGACAGCACGCCAAGAGAGCTGGGTCCCAGATTCTTTGGATTCAGGCTACAGGGCAGCAAGAGCCCACCATGCACTGTTTGGTGACAGTGAAGTGTTACGATTGCAGCCTACAGTACTGCTTCAAATAAAAAGACACCCACCTGACAAAATACAGGGCTGAGTTTTGTGACTGAACAAGACAATTTAGTTTCCTGGAGGGCTGGGATTACAGACTAATTCTGGAGCAATCTATTGTGCCTGTTGGGTGAGGAGCGGTGCCAGGCTGCGGGAGTGAGTGGTGAGGGTCCAGTACAACAAAAGCCCCAGGAACCAGAAGCATTTCTCAGTGACTGACCCATCTGGAAAGCAGAACTGACCGACCATATTCCAGTACAGATGCTACCACACGCAGCAGCAATTGTTTTGTAGTAAGGCTGCCACTAGCAGCTACAGTCTACAGTAATAGCAGGCAGTAATTACCGCAGTAATCATATCAGAGTAATTAAATCTAAAGTTTGAATACCAACACACTATTACTGAAGCCTGGAGTCACCTCATAAAATTATTATGCTTGATGCTGAAAAGTACTGCATCCCACGCAGACCCATTACTTAGAAGAGTAACATCATTAGTCATCATAGCCAAGATTTACTACCTAACAAGAGCGCTGTCCTAAATCCAGCTACTACTAGTGCCACAATAACAAAAATCAGCACTACTATTTAGCCATTTCTACATTTAGTAGCTTTTTTTTTTTTTGAAGTTTATGAAGCGTGGAGAGTAGTTCCAAAGCAACTTACAACACCTGTTAAAGAACTACACAGAGGGACACCAGCTGACTTGTTCTCCTATCCTGTTGTCACAGACCCCTTCCATTAGACTAAATTATCATTTTTATGCTAACTGTTGCCACAAGAGCTGGTCCAAACTACTATTAGAAGTAAATAACGCTTTAAAAACTGGGGAGAGGAAATCAGCACCAGAATGCTGCACATTAATCTCTTCCATATAAGCCACTCAAGCACTGTCATGGCTGGTCCCAGTTTGTGAGGCAGAAGACTCAGAACAAGAGAAAGAACCATGCATTACGGGGTAGGGCCCTGAGACTACACAAAGGTTAAACTAAACCAGATCAGTTTCCTTTTCAAAATTATCAGTTTCTGATAAAGAGACCAAAAACAAGCACCATGTGTTCTGAATTATACTTCCAATATTTCTATATTCTCAATTTGTGAATTGATGCTAATAAGAAACAGAATCAATCACATTTGTTGTATAACCAGGACAGCTCTACCATACATACTCATTCCAGTATGGTAAAGATTTATACTAACCTATTTTGAACAACAGATCAAGATCAATGTTATTTCATAGGTTGTTCCTAAAAGCTCTACAAACTCTGAGCAAAATAAACCACCTCGTAATACAATACCAAGTAGCATAACCATTACAATATTAAGCAGATGTTATTTAAAAAGCATTCTTCTGCCCCAAACCACCACCACCTCTGCAGTTTTCATTGAGAAAATAAAACCAGGAATCTTTCCTTCACATCTCTGCTTTCAACTCACCTTATGACAAGTCAAAACACTTTTTGATTCAATAATAACTTCTGTAGTGACACTGCACTGTTTAGCAGCTATGATGGTTTTATTGCATGGTTAATAAATAGAACATAAGCAACAAGGAAAACAGCTTTTATTTCAGCAACTTCTCAACAGTAGCAAGAAAAACAAGGAAAACGGAGCACAGAATTTATTTATATTTACTAATGCTTTCCTTGAGTTTACTTTGGAGACAGAGTCCCTATTTCTCCTTGTCTTCAAACTTCAAAATATTTCCAAAGAATATGTTAGAATTTTAAGACAGGTTCTAAGTCATAAGTATAAATTAGCTCCCAATTTGACAATATTATGTAAAGTGCTCCCATCAGGATTTGTTCAGCTCAATGAATGATTTTTCTTTAAGCATTTTAAAAAACAGTACTTTGTTGAGCAGACACAATAATCAGATAAATAATATTTCAAACATCAGTACAAACTTAATTTACAAAACCTTTCCAGAATTCTTCTGAAAAAGGGTCTTCAGCTAATAAAAATAAATTCTATTAATTACCCTGAAAACCAGACAGGTATAACCAGGATCCAGTCACTGGATAATATCTTTCCTGTGGTAAGATTTACTTCCTTTTTTCTTTCATATTCACTCATGAAAGCACATATATTGCTAAGTAATATGTGGCTATATAGATGCATATAAAAAAAAGTCTTTTAAAGGATTTGTCAGAAATTTCAACTCTGTATTTTCAGTTATGTAAACAGGTACATGAATCCACATTTTTAACAAAATGCACAAGTGAAGGACATCATTTCCGGAAGCGTTTAAATAGTGGATGGATGTGTTTACTTGAAGATGCCTTACTCCGTGAAGAGTGGTATTCCATGTAAACCGTATCATCTGCTCCTGACATAGAGCTCATGGTGCCCGCACGACGTGACACCTGCAAGTGAGAGGAGAAAAAACATGTGCTTAGTGTGTGATTAGGTAGGCCAACTCTAACCTACTGATGCCCAATGGCTACTGGGCAGCACTGTTCATTTAGTGACCTTAATGCCAAAAAGCCTTCAAAGTTTTTTTTCTTAAGAAGAATTTCTACAAAGAAAGTCCCTGCCTGCAACTCACAGTAAGTATACAAGCATATGTAAGGTCTAATATGAAAAGATCCTTTAGAGTGGGAATTCCTAACGCACTTCAGCACAATGCCATTTAGCTAAAAAACAACCCTAAAAAATTAATTACCACATTGTAGCTTGACTTTAACTTATGTATCAATAAATGTTTCAGGCTATTTATTTTCTTTTATCTGCTGCTGAAAATGTCAAAACTACTACCTACAATAACAGTACTTCTCTTGAAAATGAACAAAAGTGGCTCTTATGCTTCTGCCCTCTGGGCGTGAGGAAATTGGGGCATGACTCAAGGAGCACAATGCCACCACAAAAGAGTATGTGCTGGGACATACATGTATCTTAAAATACGTATGTTTTAAAATATTTTCATTGCTTGTGACTTAGAAGATTTACTTCAAAATCTGCAACAACAGATCCGTCATCCTGTCCCTCAAATATGATAGAGGACATGAATTCCATGTCTAACTTCCTTCCAGTGCTCAACAACTGAATTACTCAAATAGCTAAGAGCTAATGCAGCTAAAAAAAAAAAAAGATATCTGTTCTCCAATGTTTCACCAGATACTGGTGCATCAATGATAGCATCACATTTAGAATTAAAATGGAATGGACCAGTTCTGTCACATTTGTATTCATCCCTTTCAAAGCATTCTTCATTACTTGAGCTGACTTTGAACCATATTTTCCATTACCTGAGCTGACTTTGAACCATATTCTCCAGCGACTACTTCCTCCTCAGCATCCAGGTCAGATGCCTGCAGGACTTTCTGGAGAAGCTGCTGCTGTTCTTCTTTGGATGAAAACGAAAGTTCTTCTTCTTCCATGCCTGCAAGCTTTGTTATTACCTAAGAAACAGAGCAGAGTACAAGGTGAGGGCTCTTCCTCCTCACTTAGCTATTCAAAACCAAGACAAGGATTTCTGATTCCATATCCTGTTAGAACTGCCTTCAACTTTTATTCATGGTCTGAACAGCTTAACACTACGATATCACAGATGCCTATAAAATTTTGCTAAGTGGTGTACATACATATACACACACCTTCCTCATTATAGTCCACCTAGAAATGCAAAATACAAATCTTTGGAGAAAAAAAAAAAGAAAAAAAAACCTCTGGACAGAGAACGTCAACCAAAGACCATCCATACCAGCTTGACCAAGAACCTGCTCAAAGCATATACAGCTCAGAGGCATATTCAACTTACTGCAAGGTTAGCTTCATGGTGTAGGCTCTAGATTTGTCTAGTTTAAGAACTAGTACTTTATATTTAACAAAAATAATCCACTGGCTTTCCAGACACCGAGAATTTTAGCATAAACATTGAAGAATAAAGGAAAAAAACCCCTAATAAATTGAGATGTATGATCAGTTATTGAGACAGTGCAGTAACCTGCAACAAAGCATCAGCAGCAGAGCAAAAGGACTCTTTCAATGTCCGTGTACTTAGACACAAGGTAACTTCACTGTTACGACTGTTCTTTCCGAAATGCTTAGTAACACATTTGACAACGGTGGACGCAGGGCACATGCCATCTACTGGCAACATAGTGCCATATACTCCATTAGCTGAAAAACCTTTTCTGAAGAACTGAGAAGCTCTCAAGTTTCTGTTACAAAGCTTTACAATAGGTAGGTTGTTTTCTTAATTTGAGGTATTTTGAAGATTTCACAAGAATTTTTCCTGCAGTTAACTGCATTCTGGTAAACATATATTTATACATGAGAATCTCAGGTTTCCCATTATGTTTCCAACTTGAAGAGGTTTTGAGAAAGACATTCTAATTCACCCATTTCCCTCGATTAGTTTCCCCTCCTCATCTTCCTTTTTCAGCTTCTCTCTCGAATCAATACAATTAGAAACTAATTACCTCAGTAATCTGGGCTGGATCTGATCATAAAGACTGATAAAAAAATATAAATACAGCTTAAGGTAAAACAAATCCACATTAGTCGCAAAGTACTGGTTTTGAAAAACAGGGTAGTGAAACACTAGAATGAATAATCAGCGTTGTGGGCTGTTGTCAATGGCAATTTCTAATTCGAAAATGGATGTCTTTCTCAGAAATGTTCTAGCTTTAAGAATCCATTCAAGGAAGCAACCTGTCCTACTATATGGCTAAATGGACACTATTGTCCCCCTTCTTGTCTATTTAGAAGGGCATGTGCTATGATTATCTCAAAAATAAAGAAAAAGGAGTCATGAAAAGCAATTTTAAACTGCATTAGCCTGTTTTCAGTTGTGGTTACAAAACAGTGCTAACGTGATTCATAGGACAGAAAGAATTCCAACTGCATCATCATTTTTTTTAAGCTGTTCAACAAATGCCAAGTTTAAAGTTTCCTCAGTTCTTTGATATAGTGAGTTCTTCTGCTATTGGTTTAAAATTTAATATATGCTACATTCAGCCTCTAAATAAAAATACAATACAATAACTAACTAAGCTACGGTTAGCTAATCAAAAAAACCACTACCAGTAAACTCCAAGCAGTAAATTGTGATGACAAGGCTCCTATTTAAGAAGCAAAGACAAAATACATGATTTAGAAAAAAATATTATTCCAGTCCTCTTTTTGATGAAAGGTAGAGAATGGATCTATTGAGAGATGGCAAGAAGGAAGTAAGTCCTAGGAAAAAAGTGAGAACTGTTACCCTTTTAAAGGAGTAATGAATTTTTAGTAATTTAGTAACAAAAATTCTGAAGGATAGGACATCAGCACTGAAATAATTACCTAAAGATGAGGTACAGTCTCCATATTTGGAAGAATATGAAGGCAAACATCTGCTGGGAATGACATACACATAGTTGATCATGGCTTGGAATGAAGAAACACAATAGATGGTTTCTTGGAAGTGCCTTCCAGCCCTGTTATTCTTTGATGCCAGCTATGACTAAGGCTTTTTTCTGTTTGGCAAACAGAAGAAAATAGATATTCTAACATTTTGTTCCTAAACTGCAAATAAAGAACATTCCAGTACTGGTCAGCTAAAATGTTGCTCCAGATACTCAGCTGCCACTTGCACTGCTTTTTTTTCCCATATTACACCAAAGCTCCTAGGACTAGGTCCTTCCTTGCAAAATAAAATCCCTCTAGTTTAACCTCTTTCTTAGTTCTACAATCCAAGGCATTCAAATGTAAATAAAGGGATTTCTCTAATCTTCTTGGCTATAGCCACATAGATGCATTTGCTGTAATTAGTTAAAGATTAGTACTGACCTACAATTTTGTCAAAACACATTCACTACAAAGCAAAACAAGGTTTTTACCTATGAAAACTGTGACATGTCTGTTTCAGTGTCAGGACGCCCTTAAAGCTCTCTTTAATGGGTCACTGATTACAGAGCAATTATTTACTTCAGTGTAGCTGCAGTTCAGAGAGGTTTTACCCACCGGGATGTCCCATACTGTATGTATGCCTCATGAGGAGAAGCTCTTAAATAGCTCAAGTGCAATCCAGTAGAGGCTGCCTGCCCTTGCACCTCGTGCAATCCTTGCATGATTCTGTCAATGCCATAAACTTGAGCTTGTTCCCTAAAGGCAGATACGGAAGCCTTATCTTTTATTCTTCTTCTCAGCAATGTTTCTTATTGGGAAGGTTTCTAATCAGAGCAGTAAACTCTCATTTTGTAAAGGAATAATTTACCTAAAAGCAAGACCTATCATGACACTCTGTTGCCTTTAACAACCTAATAGATGAGCATATGGGGCAGTCCATGGATTAAAAGAAAAATAAATGAGATACACTGTGAAATCTATAAAATAGACAAGCTTTGATGGAATTAGATTTTATGTTTGGAAGAAGACAACATATATAGAGACACATAATAAACTGAAATATAAAGGGTGATCGATTTTCAAGTATGTCTGCAGAAATGAGGCAGCACTCCCCCAAAAGGGACTTTACAGGAAGCTTCTGACTTTCAAGTCACAGGTATTACATAGTCAACACTGAAAATGTTCTCTATTTTGAGGAGTATGTTTCAGTTGTAGGTAGGAAGATTTCCAGTCTGCAATAACAGTCTTTTCCTGCAGTAAATTCTGTCATTTCTTAATCAACTAACGTTCAACCCAGTGATTTTGGTGATATAGTTCATTCCATGCAGAGAAAATTACAAGAGGAAGGTCAAGCTGTTGGTAGAAGCTACATAAGCACAGTCTGAAGACCTCCATCAGCCAGAACAGTTTCTGCTAACACAGAGCCACCGTATCAACATGTCTGCATCCCAACTGATTTTCTGTACCACTGCAGGCTTTGGTCAGAACTGTGGAAATGGTGCACAAGATTAGTGTGTGGACAAAGATCCCTGAAAGGTATTTGTTTCGGAATGGGTCGCTAGACACTTCAGACACCTAACTTTATGATTCCCAGAGTCAAATACATGAATTTAGGATGGATGAATCCTGCCTGTTGTATGATGTCTTCAGACACAAAAAAAAAGATTTTCTCCCCATAGTGAAATACTGGTCTGAGACTGGAGTTCTTTGGAAATAATATGTGACTTGTGAAGTTCTGGAAGTCTTCTGAATTGCTGCTGGCCACTACAATGCTTTATGCACAACCAGTATGATAAAGTATAATAGGAGGCCTGCACAGATCAACAATTGAAGAGCATGAACATAAACCAACCAGGCAAGTAACATTTTGCTTCACTCCTCAGTGCGTGCTTGGTTAGAAGTCAGAATACTTACCTTTCCAGAAGCTGTACTAAGTTACTTGTATCTATCCTCACAGCTATACAGATGATAAAACAACACCGGAACAGTTGTTCTTTGCGAGTAAAAACTTCATTAGTACCTTCCACAACCAGAATTCTCAAGTATTTGACCTAATCTAATACTAACATGAAAGAATATGAAAGTTGTATTCTTAGGCCACAAGTATAATAAATAGAAGGGACAAGTTACCTTGAAGCTATAACCTTGATCTACAAGAAACCGTTGTCGCTTTGTTGAATATGCCATCTCCTGAGTGTCTTGGGATACAAGAGAATAAAAAAAGGCATTGTATTCCTCTGCAACCATGCCTAGGAGACAAAGACACCGAGTGATTCGTTCCATTTGGAACACTGCAACCGAGAAGAAAAAAGGACTGAATGCTGAAGACAGGTGTTTAAATACCTTGTCTCTCCACAAAAACAATCTGCAAAGTTTAGCTGCGCCCAGACCCTACATAAACTGACTGACAAAGTACGCAGCATGGAAATAAAAAAGTTCTTAATAACTTGAGAATGGTTGAAAGAGAAAAAATGAAAAGAAACATAGACCAAGACAATTACACTGGTTCTCTGAGAAGAACCTGCTTCTTTATTATGCTAGGCAAGGTGAAAGATTAAAATTATTTCAAGTCTACTATATAGAGAAGTAGTAAAAAGTCAAGAGCATGGATTGCAACACATGTTAAAAAAGTTCAATAGAAATAAGACAAAGGAAAAGTTTTATCCACGTAAACCAGAGTTTGCAGTGTTTTTGCAATAAAAAAGGTGAGACAAAGATATTTAGCTAAGAATTCATAGGACTATTTGAAACCCAGGATATACCAGGCTGCATATAATTTTTTTTTTTAAACTTCAGTCCTTAAGATCTATTACCCAAACAGCATTGAGTTCTCTTTTAAAACCCAAGGTTTCACTGAGACTTTGTTAATTTGGTAATGTGGGTTTTGTATGCGTTTTCAAACAAAGCCTCAGCTGTAACAAGCACAAAGTGCACAGAAAATAAGTGTATGCAGATCTTAGGTGCAAGTAGAAAGTGTTTTAAGAATCATTTGTCTAAACAAAAAGCTCTTTGGTTATGTTTTGCAAAAACACAACTAGTTGAAAATGAAATCCCATTTTTAAAAGAAAGTAATCTGCAGTATCAAAAATGTGCTTTCTAAAGATTTGCTTGTTAGACTAACACTATGCTTATTTAAAAACAATTTCATGTTAAGGATATTATCAAGAAATGAAAAAGAGACAGAACCACCAAAGAACAAAAAGTTCATTTTCCTTCAGCTTTTTTTGTCCTTTGGAAGTTTTCCCAACACAAAGCTTTACCGACCCAGAAAATGCTTCATTTTCATTCGCTGGTATATAGGCACATGTATATTCTCTTTGACTAAAACATAAATCCAAGGACAATATAAAGAAGTATCATCAACATCCAGTTTCTCTGCAGTTCTATGATACTGTGATCCAAGGCCCAGAGCCTCATGTACCTTTTTTGGCTCTCAGCACTCGTCCCAGTCTTTGAGCCTCCTGTCTTCGAGACCCACCATGGGACGATATCTGAATCAGAACGTTGGCTTCTGGCAGATCGAAGGATGTGTCACCTACCTATAACAGAGAAGCCGCCTCTGATCAGCATCTTATTTCTGTATATCATGAACAAAGATTTAATACAAAGTACACCTTTGTGGTCTCCGATACAAAAATGACAAATGCACAATATGCATGTATAACTCACTCTTAAAGTTCACTCTGGAGACGAGTTCAATCACAGAATGATCAGGGTTGGAAGGGACCTCTGGAGATCATCTAGTTCAACCCCCCTGCCAAAGCAGGTTCACCTACAGCAAGTTGCACAGGAACACGTCCAGACAGGTTTTGACTATCTCCAGAGAAAGAGACTCCACAACCTCTCTGAGCAGCTTGTTCCAGTGCTCTGCCACCCTCAAAGTACAGAAGTTCTTCCTCATATTAAGATGAAACTTCCTGAGTTTCAGTTTGTGCCCGTTGCCCCTTGTCACTGGGCAACACTGAAAAGAGCCTGGCCCCATCCTCTTGGTATCCACCCTTGAGGTGTTTATAAGTATTGATGAGATCCCCTCTCACTCTTCTCTTCTCCAGGATGAACAGACCCAGCTCTCTCAACCTTTCCTCATAAGGGAGATGCTCCAGGCCCATAAACATCTTTGCTGTCCTCCACTGGACTCTCTCCAGTAGATCCTTGTCTTGAACTGGGGAGCCCAGAACCGAACACAGTACTCCAGATGTGGCCTCACCAGGGCAGAGTAGAGGGGGAAGATAACCTCCCTTGACCTGCTGGCCACACTCTTCCTAATGCACCCCAAGATACCACTGGCCTTCTTGGCCACGAGGGCGCATTGCTGGCTCATGGACAACTTGTTGTCCACCAGGACTCCCAGGTCCTTCTCTGCTGAGCTGCCCTCCAGCAGGTGAGCCCCGAGCCTGTACTGGTGCATGGGGTTA